GAGTTCAGTACAACAGACAGAGAGCAGAGTCTCCAGTGTCCAGCTGTCTGTCTATGAAGAGTGATGAGTCCAAAGATATTCCTCCGGACTCCAGTAATGAACCTGGACCCTCAGACACAAAGTAAGAAACTGTTTTACTGTAAACTGACCTGATGGAAGATGATTCATTGAGCATGAAGACAAAATAGATTTATTTTCATGATGCAGAACTATTAGTGCAGACACTGTTTCAAACTAAAATGTATCTTATTTTATTTCTTTAAGAAAACACTTGAGAACCTCCATTTCAGAGTTTATATTTCATATATAATATAATAATATTCATATATTTTTGCTCTGATGTTGAAGTCACTGTAAATATTTGTAACTATAATCTGAAAGAATGTGTTTCTAATGTGTAATTAAATATATTGTTTCTAAAGATGAAGAAACAAACATCCATTTATTTATGTAAAAGTTATCTGCAGATTTAAAAACAGGGACAGAAAATGTCTAATGTAGATTTGGAGACTTCTTTTTAAGAATATTTGAACTGGATATATTCCTTCATTTGATAGTTGACAATATAGAGTGACAGGAAACATAAAAGGAATGAAAAACAAACAAATAAACAGTTTGTAGTTGAACCTGTGACACCACTGTTACGTGCTATGTGTCTTACAGTAAACTGCTGGTCTATCATAATTATTTAGAGCACTTCTAATCTCAGTTTAAACTAACACAAGCTAATCTGCCCAAAGAGACTGTAGAACAGTGAAGGACATAATCAGCTCTCTTTAATGGAAGGCTTTTATTGTGAAGCAGCTGCAGGAAGTGTTGAGTTTGTATTAATAACAAACTACAGGCAGATCAATAAATGTTTAATAAGACAGACAGATAGGAAAAGCACTCAGTGTTTATGAAAGCAGGAGAGTTGAAATAAAAGGAATCATTTTCATTACAGACTGAATGCTGAATTCAAACAGAAAAGTTAACAACACTTTTAATGTTCTCTGTGACCATCTGAGCTTCCAGACAGTGTCGGACAAATCTCAGTATTTTTCATCAACTATCAACAAATCATTTTAGTAATAAAGAAATGTCTTCACAGAGAGAGGAAGAGGAGTCATGTTTCTGTGGAGGAGCAGCTGTCCTGCTGTGTTTTGTGTCAGGACGTCCTGAAGGATCCAGTCTCTACCAGCTGTGGACACTGGTTCTGCAGACAGTGCATCACCTCATACTGGGACCAGTCTGCTTCATCAGGAGACTCCTCCTGTCCCCAGTGTGGAAAAAGATCCAGAACAAGAGCTGGACTGCAGACAGCCAGTCAGACCAGCACTGTACAAAGTAAGACATCTTCAAGTTTATTTAGAGACTTAAAATAAGTTCCTTCAATGTGGATTCAACCCCAAAACTGCATGAATTATGTAACTACATCAACTTCATCAAATATGCTGAACATCTTCAAGTGCTACATTTAGTTTTAGAGTTTTCAGGCCATTGGCAGCACGGTAGGCAAGTACCAGTGACTATAAAATTTATTTGACCAGTAATTAAAATATTGCATTCTTATCCAGTTCTTAATTAAAAGAAAACCAGGCTGACCCAGGAACTGCATAACTAATATGAACCCTTTAATGTTTGTTTATCTTTATCGCAAGTCATATCGTCATCACAATATTGAACAGTGTTTTTGCACATCGCAGATATTCCTCATATCGTGCAGGGCTAGTTTAGATAATGAGCTGCTGAGGCTCAGCCTGTTGCTTCTGCTGTCAATCAAACACGTACACCAACACACAGTCAGAGAAAAAATAACATTTTCTGATGTTCCCTCAAAACTGGACTGGATAAAGTTTACTTCTGTTTATATTTCTATATTTATCTTTATATTGGTAATGAAAATAATCAGCAGATTGTCAAATCTTCTTTGTTTTGACTCAACCTTTTATCTTTATTAGTGAGTGGTGGTCTGCAGGAGGTTTTAGATGAACATAAGATCAGTCTGAAGATGAGATGTAAACATGTGACTGAAGGAACTGATGAAACAGGAAGTGGAATCCTCCTCAACAGGATCTACACTGAGCTCTACATCACAGAGGGACAGAGTGAAGAGGTTAATACCCAACATGAGGTGAGGCAACTGGAGACAGCTTCCAAGATGGAGACCCTCCATGACACTCCAATCAAGTGCCACGAGATCTTTAAAGCCTTACCTGACCAACAGAGACACATCAGAGTGGTTCTGATGAACGGTGTCGCTGGCGTTGGAAAAACCTTCTCAGTTCAGAAGTTCACTCTGGACTGGGCAGAGGGTTTGGAAAACCAAGATGTCAGTCTGGTGGTTCTGCTTTCGTTCAGGGAGCTGAACCTGATCAAAGATGAGCAGTACAGTCTTCTCAGGCTGCTCCATGTTTTCCATCCAACATTACAGAAGGTCACAGCAGAGCAGCTCGCTGTCTGTAAACTTTTGTTCATCTTTGACGGCCTGGATGAAAGCAGACTTTCACTGGATTTCCACAACAATGAGGTTGTGTCTGACGTCACACAGAAGTCTTCAGTCAACGTGCTGTTGACAAACCTCATCAAGGGGAATCTGCTTCCCTCGGCTCTCGTCTGGATAACTTCCAGACCTGCAGCAGCCAATCAGATCCCTCCTGAATGTGTCGACAGGGTAACAGAAGTACGAGGCTTCACTGATGCCCAGAAGGAGGAGTTCTTCAGGAGGAGAGTCAGTGATGAATATCTGTCCAACAGAATCATCTCACACATCAAGACCTCCAGGAGCCTCCACATCATGTGTCTAATCCCAGTCTTCTGCTGGATCACTGCTACAGTTCTGGACCACATGTTGACTACAGACCAGAGAGGAGAGCTGCCCAAGACCCTGACTGACATGTACTCACACTTCCTGCTGGTTCAGACACAGAGGAAGAAGCAGAAGTATGATGAGGGACATAAGAAGAGTCCACAGGAGCTGATGGAGGCTGACAGGGAAGTTCTTCTGAAGCTGGGGAGGCTGGCGTTTGAACAGCTGGAGAAAGGAAACATCATGTTCTACCAAGAAGACCTGGAGCAGTGTGGTCTTGATGTCACAGAGGCCTCGGTGTACTCAGGAGTTTGTACAGAGATCTTCAAAAGAGAGAGTGTGATCTTCCAGAAAACAGTCTACTGCTTTGTTCATCTGAGCATTCAGGAGTTTCTGGCTGCAGTCTACATGTTCCACTGTCACACCAACAGGAACACCAAAGTACTGGAGGACTTCCTGGGTCAAAAACACATTGATTCAATCCTGGATGTATTTCTGAGGAAAGACTGGAAAAACAAGAAGAGGTCGCAATCACAGGACAGTGATTTATCCCTGGACAGTGATTCAGTCATTGAAGGTGATGATTATGATGGTGACAAAGACAATGTTTATGGTGACTGCGATGACACTGAAACATCTCTGGATGTGTTTCTGAAGAAAGCCATGGAGAAATCCCTCAAAAGTAAAAATGGCCACCTGGACCTGTTTGTTCGCTTCCTTCATGGCCTCTCTCTGAAGTCCAACCAGAGACTCTTAGGAGGCCTGCTGGGTCAGACAGACAACAGTTCAGAAATCATCCAGAAAGCCATCAACAACCTGAAGAAGATGAACAGTGCCTATATCTCTCCTGACAGAAGCATCAACATCTTCCACTGTCTGATGGAGATGAACGACCACTCAGTCCATCAGGAGATCCAAGAGTTCCTGAAGTCAGAGAACAGATCAAAGAAGAAACTCTTTGAGATCCACTGCTCAGCTCTGGCCTACATGCTGCAGATGTCAGAGGAGGTTCTGGATGAGTTGGACCTGAAGAAGTACAACACATCAGACCAGGGACGACAGAGACTGATTCCAGCTGTGAGGAACTGCAGAAAGGCTCAGTAAGTCCAGATGTGATTAACATTATAAATCAATGTAAAGTTGAAGCCATCAGTATTAGAGTTAAGATTATATTGTTTAGTTCTCAACAAAGAACGTCTTTTCATGTTTTTTCGTTCTAAATAATTTTGATTCATAAACCAGTTTACAGACGAGTCCATTCAAATACCACCAAAGAGAGAGAGAGGGAAAAGGAGAGAGCTTCTTTAATAATGAAGGTTCATTTAGTGTAGCAGAGCCTTTCCAGTGAGCCATGATGCACAGTAGCAGCACCCTGACTGTGTTTGACCTGAATGTAACAGAACCTTAATTAGTGTCATTGGTAACACCTGTGTTTACCCTCCTGTTTCATATCAAAATGGCTCCTGTGATAAAGGTTTATTATTTTAATGGAAGATGAAAAGCAGCTGGAGCAACATAATAAGATTAATCTGGGGCTGCATTAGTGAGATTTTCATGGTACAATAACCATCTCAGAATCACAGTTTAAAGGTATACAGTATTACACAATTATTAATTATCAGTTACAGTAATGAAAACAGAAGGATGTGTTATTTTTGTTTGTTTGTTTTTTGGTTGAATGCTATATTTCACAAAATATTATGTACTATATATATTTTAATAACACTAATACATAGATAAACAAATGTACATAGTATGATTTCATACCACTGTATAACATGGTATTGGTATACAGCTGAAACCCTAGATGGATAAAAGATGCACAAAATACACACAAGAAGCACATGACTGAGGTAAATACATATGAGTGCAGTTACAAACTATAGTTATTATACAGCTCACTGAACATCATGTTAAAATAAAGTTTAACAAACACAAATCACAGCACTTGTGGACAGGAGGAGCTCAAGTTTCAAACCACAGACCTTGTGATCAATGACTGACCAGCTGAGATACAGCCGCTCATGTTAATGTGCTTTGTGATGCAAAAAGCACAGAAGTCTACTTTTATAATAAAATGTCAGATTTTATTGTACTTAGTAAATTTATATTCCGTCATCACAGACTTTCCTCATGTAGACTCTCAGAGACTCACTGTGAAGTTGTGGCCTCAGCTCTGAAGTCCAACCCCTCCCATCTGAGAGATCTGGACCTGAGTTACAACAAGCTGCAGGATTCAGGAGTGAAGCTGTTGTGTGCTGGACTGGAGAGTAAAAACTGTAGACTGGAGACTCTGAGGTCAGTTCATGTTTTTTGCTCTTGTACAGTTTATATCTGATATGTGTAATTAATCTTTGTCTGCCTCTGATCCCCAGTAAAAACACTGCACACACACATACACACACACACACACACACACACACACACACACACACACACACACACACACACACACACACACACAGCGACAGAGACACAGAGGAGAGAGTTGATGTAAAAGGTTGTAAAAGATGTAAAAGATTATAATTCAAGTTGAATACAAATGTAATAGTTCGCAGTCTGGTGACTTTGACCCACACTGAGCAAAGCATAATAAAATATGACCAAGACCTCAATTTAAAATGAAGAACATATTCTGAGTTACAGAGAAATTTGGACGCTATTAACACTTAACACAGTTTTGTGTTTTGTTATTCAAACATAGACCAAATTTCTTAAGTGTTATTAAGGGAGAATGACTATTGTGGTGGTACAACAACCTTATAAGGCCCATACTGAGCTTCATGGACAACAACTTCCTTACTAACTATCATTAAGCAGTAATTAGGAGGTTATTGAGGAAAGAGTCTCAGTTCATGGCTTAGTAGTGTTAGAATATAGTCATGCAGTATAAGGCATTAAATCATGCTTAATAATTACTAATAAAGAGTTAATATGCTACTAATATGCAAGCACAAACACACTGTAAAACACACACAAGCAGCAAGCATATTTCTGAATGCAGGTGTTTGAAGTATTGTGTGTGACTTTGTGTTCTGACTCAACCAGTAAGCAGGAGCATAAATAATACACTGTATTTGTACAGGAAGGTACTTGGTTAAATTTAAGATTAAGAGAGAACATGCAGCTCTCTTGCTCAGTGCACATTTGATCCAGTTATAAAGAAGATTGAGGATGAAGCTCACAGTCAGTGTGTGTTGATGGAGATGACAGTGGTGATGAGGATAGTCTAAATGTGTGAGATACATCAGAACTGCTGGTTTAAAGAGGTTTGTTTTTACTTAAATTATTATTACAGACCTGACTGACAGCATGTTATTGATCTCTGTTGACATGAATTAATTCTTTATTCAGATTGATTGACTGCAGTTTGTCAGAGATCAGCTGTGATTATCTGGTCTCAGCTCTGAAGTCCAACTCCTCCCATCTGAGAGAGCTGAACCTGAGTATCAACAAGCTGCAGGATTCAGGAGTGAAGCTGCTGTGTGGTTTTCTGGAGAGTCCACACTGTAGACTGGAGACTCTGAGGTCAGACACCATATTTTCCTTCTGTGCTGAGATTAATATGATGTGAAAGTTGTGGTGACAGTAAAGTGCAGACATAAGGCTGATATTATACTGATCCACACTGAGTATCTTAATGCTAAAGTCTGTTTTCTTCTTCAAGCATCAATTCTTTCCAAGCATGAGATTTTGTACTCTTCCATTGAAATACACAAATATTTTGCCATTCTTTGTCTGTTATTGTCAGGTCTCCTTCCTTCTCCCATCTATCCTTTATATATTTTGTTGAATGAGCTTTTAGATTGTGGAGGCTCTTATACAGTTGAGAGATGACCCCTCTTTTAATATCTGACTTATATGCATTTATGAGAAGTTGCATAAAGGGTTTACTGGCTTCTCTGGTATTTTTCTTTTTTCTTTTCTTTTTGATTTCTTAAATGCAGATATTTTTAGAAATCCTGTTTTTCCAGAGAAAAATTATCTCTCAATGTTTGAAAACACATCATTTCATCTTTCAGTATAATGCTGCATAGAGATATTATACCTTTCTTTATCCAAACTTTGAATCTATCATTGAGTTTATTTAGTGTGAGATCTGAATCATATGCACACCAACTCAGGATTTAAATATCTTCTTTCAATTTATGTTCTTTTATCACTGCTCTCCGAACCCCGAGAGCTGATGCTCTCATCTGTGCTGAGACATAATTATGTTTCTGTGATGGTAAACCCCAGCCTCTTCTTTCTTTCAGTAGCTGTAATGTTTTATATCGTACTCGAGGTCTTTTTCCTGCCATATAAATCTCAATATCATTAAACACTGAATGATTTCAAGCAGGAACATTGTCTTCTAAACTTAAATCTTTTATTCTTTATTCAGATTGTGGGACTGCAGTTTGTCAGAGATCAGCTGTGATTGTCTGGGCTCAGCTCTGAAGTCCAACCGCTCCCATCTGAGAGAGCTGGACCTGAGTGACAACAAGCTGCAGGATTCAGGAGTGAAGCTGCTGTCTGATCTTGTGGAGAGTCCACACTGTAGACTGGAGACTCTGAGGTCAGTACAGGGTTGGAATCAGTCCATGCTGGTTTCAGCAGAATTGTACTAAACACAGTTAGTATCAAAGCAAAGATCCAGTATTTGCTGCTTTCCTCAGTGAAGCTGTGAGAGGAGGATGGTGACAGACTTCAGGGTTGGACAGAAAGACAGAGAGAGAGAGAACAGGCAGCCAATCAGAGAGCCAGAAGCTTGTCGTGATCATGTGTTTGAGTTGATGTGAAGACAACTGTTGTTGTTGTGTTCATGTCTACAGGAAATAAAGCTGGATTCCAGCTGACAGCATTACAAGATGTACAGAGACAGTGGTCCTCATTCATCAAACTGTCGTACCATCAAATCTGATCTCAAAGTGTTTGTTCTCTCATTTCAACACTAAACAACTGATCAGTTCATCTTTGTCACAGCTCTAAGATCAGTCTGACTGAAGCCTGCAAACCACTGGATCTTATTTCAGAGAACCATCATTATATTTAGTGACCATGTGGTCTTTGTACAGACCAGAACCTCTGCTGAAGTCCAGTAATCACAGCTATTGTTCAGTCTTTGTATGAACATGTAGGACCTTCAGATATATATCTGTCCATTTGTCTTTTGTTTAGTCCAAATATGTTTTATATTATTTTAAACAGACTCCATATTTACAGATCTGTCCTGTGAGATTTCAAAAGCAGATGAAACGTTCAAATGTGACTGAGACTGTGGTTTTTATCAGCTTTGAACCCAAACAGCAGTAAATCCATCATTACAGTGGGCAGTAAATGTCTCTCTGTTTCTGCAGTAATGATGCGTTCAGGGACTCTTAGCACTTTATTTCCACTGTGTACTTCAGTGAATTCTGCAGAGTCAACAGACTTGATGTCCAAAGTGTCTGCAGGTCTGTGAGCTTCAGCTGAGTGTGTTCACTCCAATACGTTAACATGAGAGCTGAAAGGAAGCAGGCTACGCTACACAGCCGCTCACCTTCTGGTCTGAACTGGACTGAAGTCCCTGCTGGTCTTTATACTGGATGTGCTGATGGAGGGAGTCTCTGTAAACACTGATTTATGACTTCTGTTGTCTGTCTTCTTCTCTCCTCAGATGGTGGTGATCTCAGTCAGAGTGTGAGTGGTGAGGAAGGAGGTTGTGTTGGAGGATCAGCTGTGTCCTGATGATCCAGAGAGGTTGAAGCAGCAGCATCAGCTCTGACTGGGCCATGTTACTGGGAGGTAGAGTGGAGAGGAGAGCTTCATCCAGCAGTGACTGACAGAGGAATCACAACCAGTGGAGATGACTCTCAGTGCTGCAGTCTGAACTGCTCTGAGATCAGCTCCACTGTCAGACATCCATCATATTCTGTAACAGGTTGCATTATTTACAGAAAGCAGTGTGTTTACAGTGTGTTTACTGATGAGCTGAATGCAACAACACTAATGAAAGTGTAAGAATGGGGATAAACTTTCATCACTTTCTGTGTTTAAAATGGTCGTAATTAATGTTTATGTGGACCTGCCCAGGGACTGCAGATGGAAATTAATTAGTAGCTAAATCTGGTAAAATGCATCTCTGCTCCTTGTATGAGATTAATGTGTTTTTGTTTATGGTCCCTGATAAATAAATATAATTAACTAAACTAATAATGAGAAATAAGTTGAGTCCCCATCTGCATGAGACTGTCAGTGAAATGTTTTTTTCTTCTGTAATGAGCAAAAGATATTAAACAACGTTGTTATGTGTCATTCCACATGTGTTTATTGATGCAGTTAATTAAGAAAATGCTCAATTTCTTATTTGTGAAATATTGTGTTTTACTTGTTTGGGCCTCAAACTGTTTTGGTATTTAGATAAAAGACGTAGGTTTAGAGGAGAACTGCTAACGACTCACACACATCTGATATTTGACAAAGAGCCCCGACTAGATGATGTATTTTTATAAGACAAGAATGTTGGAAACTACTGGTTGAATTAGTAACAGTGGATTTTATAAGATAGCTGCTGCTGTCAGGTAAATGTCCTGCAGTAAAAAGTCCAGGACTTCAGTGTAGTGCAGTAAATGTATAAAGTAGAATGACATTTAAATATTAAAGTACAAATACCTCAAACTGTACTCAAGTACAGGCCTTGAGTGAATGTACTCAGTTACTTTCCACCACTGACTGTAACTGTAACTGTAACTGTAACCATCACTTCTGGAGTTACAAATACTACAACTATCATTACTATTACTATCATTACTTTTGCTATTAATACTATTACCATCATTACTATCACTACTATTACTATTACTCGTCCAAACTGATCCATCTGCTGACTAAGTAAATCTAGATGTGGAAAGTAACTAAGTACATTCAAGTACTGCATTAAGTACATTGTGGAGGTATTTGTACTCCACTACATTGGAAGTATTGGACGTTTTACTGCACTACATGTACCTGACAGCTGTCATCCTACTAGTTACTCTGCAGGTTCACATTTTACAAACAACACATGGGATCAACAAATAGATTACACGACACAAGAACATGTGAAGTATTTAAATGATCTCCACTCGCCTGAATCACCTACAGCATTAAACTGCTGCTTACATACTACTTTTAATACTTATAAATACTTCTGTACTTTTACTGAAGGAACATTTATATGCAGATAAACATTAGGAAAGAGGCTCCACAGTAAGTACACAGAAGATATCAACTACCACTGCCACTGCTACTACTTTTGGACCACTAATAAACACACAAACATTTCCACTTTCACCCTCAATAGTACTTTATGTGTCAGTGAATGAACAGTGATTGTGGTTGTAATTTATCCTTTTGGCCAGCAGGTGGTGCTGTTGTTTACTGAATGACATTTAAACTGAGCTTCAGGAGCTGTTTTACAGAGGTTGATTAAACTTTATTTTAGAGGTTGAGTTAGTGGTGCTGTTGGATTGTAATGTGTTATATAACTTTATATATACGTATATTCACTGTGAATGAGTTTTACAGGGTTTTTTTTACTATTAAAACATATCAAACTCCTCATTTTAATTACATCTGTCAAACCCACGAGATGTTCATCATGTTAAACAGCTGATCTTTGTGAGCACCACAAACACACACACACACACACACACACACACACACACACACACACACACACACACACACACAGACACACACACACACACACACACATCTATACATTCCTATATTGCTAACAGGGGGCTGTCAGACATCACTATCCAACAGGGGACTGATATTTCTAGTTATTTCAACAACAACAACAAAAAAATTGCATAGAAGATAGATTTTCATTTAAAGGAGTCATATTATACCATATTTCTACAAGTTAACCTAGTTCCCTGGTGTCCTAATGTAATGTCTGTGACATGCTTTGGTCAAAATACCATAAGGATGAAGCACCATAGCAGTTCAATCACCCTGCCAAAACAGCCCTGTTCAGAACGGTCGGGTTTGAGTGCCTGTCTCCGACGCCGGCACACTTCACGCTACCATGACAACAGTTAAACGTGAACCCTGGGAGAAAGATGGCAACTGGAGGAAACTTTGTGGTCCAACCATATATGTTTGAACCAGAGTCAGACCCTGAACAAGAAGGAGTTACCGAAGTAATTTGTAATGCAGTAAAAGCAAATACTGTCTCATAATGTTTCCATTTGTATTCTTAGTACCGACCAGCTGCATCATAAAGTAAAGTAACGTAATGTAGTTCAACGAGCGGAACAGCTGATGAGGCTTGCCGCTACAGTTTGTTAGCTCGGAGGTCACGTCTCTGCTCATTCTAGCAGTGACACACACAAACATAGTACTTCATGAAAAGCATGCACGTTTGCCAAAATACAGACGCGCATTAAGTCAATTGGTACTGCTCCCCCTTTCAGCAACAGTTTTTGGGAAGTGGTTCAAACACACATATATTTTTTTTGTTGACCCGAGCCGGGACATTGCAGTATAAAATGTATCCACAGGACTCTTAAATCCTCTGAGGCTGGGACTCTATGTAGAGCTCTGTGCTGGGCTGTGCAGCCAGGAACAGAACAGTTAGCATACTTTTGCACAGACATAAGGCCGCTCTTCCGCTCTTCTGCTCCCTCGTCTGCACTCTCACCTTTTTATCCAGACAATGGCGGAGCGCTGCTAGGCAACGTTCGCAGTGAAAGTTCGCAATCAGGGACTGTGACGCCACACGCCCTGCGAAGTCAGCATTAACTGCTTTATCTCCGGTATTTTGACTGAGGCACCCCACATGCTGCTGAGGGTCCCAAATATACATAATCAATCGATTAAAAAATTGGTTTTACATAATATGTCTTTCCAATGTTACAGCAGCAAAGTGAATAGAGAAAAAACAGTATAAAAAACAGTAAGAGTAGAAAATAATAAATAAAAACACTGTACAAGAGAAAAAACAGTAATAATCCACAACAACAGATAACACAAATAGTAGCAGCAGCAGTTGCACATGGGCAATAGATTGCACAGAGAATATGGAATGGTATTGCACAGTAATAATTGCACATTGAGGAGACTCTGCCGTGCAACCATTTCTGCTGTGTGAAAATTTCCAGACGTTCAAACGTCTGATAGCGGAGATATTTCAGCCGAAGTGGCGGACCGACGGACTGACACTATCTCTAGAGCTGTGGGGATACCGCGGCTAAAAATATTGTTGCCAAGGTAAACATTTGTGATAAATATCAGAAGCACACGATGTAGCTGTGGAGACTCAGCTTTGGCTGCTACATGAGGACGAGAGAAAGTGAAACAGGAGCGTTTATTGGAAACGAACACGCCTTTACTGTAAGGGATAAGTCACCAGTTGTGATCTCACCTGCAGTCTATGGGTGGAAAGATTTCTAGAATACCAAACTCAACCCTGCTGAAGTACAAGAAATGAAAGTACTCCTGCAGTAATGAGCAGTGTTGGACTAGTTGCTAACGTACTGCTTCTTTTTCTCCCCAAAAGTCAGACTTAAGACTATTTACATATGTTTTTTTATTTCCATATTCCAAACCTTTATTAGTGAATTAGTTTACCTTCATAGCAGCTTTCTAATCTTCGCAACAACTCAAAGCACTTTAATGCTACATGCATCCATTCACACACATTGATGGCAAAGTAATATCTTGCTCAAGGACACTTCAACACGCAGCAGGAGGAGCCGGGGATCAAACCCCCAACCTTCTGATTAGTGGACAGCTTGCTCAACCTCCTGAGCCACAGCTGCATAATAAGTAAAAGGTTTAAAATATAAGTGATAACTATAATATTTCTGCCTGTTGCGGTAATCAGGTGGGTAAAAGTGTCAAATAGATCTTTTCCACAAGTGTCTGAGCTTCTCTTTCACAATGTGGTGTTTTTATATAACACAGTTAATGTTTAAATACCTCATAGCTGATAACTGATAACATTGTTTCTTCTGTTTGAGGAACTTTTGCTCAACAAACACAAAACATAACATGGAAATTCAATAAATACATTTTTAGAAGATAAAACTTTCTATTTAAAAAACAAAAAAAGCCCACAAAGAAAAGTTTGATTTCACACTGTTGATCACCAAAACACTTAACTGAATTTGTGCTTTCATTTCATTATTTAATCAGTTAGTTTTCAGCTCACTGTGGTCATGTGACTTCACTGCTGTTTCCCTCCAGAAGAGGTCAGTAAAACAATAACCAGCGTCATGATTAGACTTTTAGCACATGGAGGAGCAAAGATGCTTTTTGGTTTATTTTCATACATGTAGTATCAAAAATAAACATTTTAACAATCAAATTATTTCTGATTACATTCATTATTATTGAACCATTATATTGCACCAGGACACACAAAGCCTTCATAAAAGAGACATAACAACAGTCAGAACCACATAATGTCTTCACAGAATCACAGCAGTGCATTAAATCAAATCACCTGTTAAAGCGCTATATATTAATACACTTATAATAACAGCAATCATTTGTAGTGATAGCAATAAACCTTGGGGACTCTAAAATATACATAAGAACATAAGAAAAATGACACAATGATTATCTGTCTCATGCACTCCTGTAGTGGCAGTTTCAGCAAATATAACAATAAGTTATTTTATTCTTTTCTATTTACAAAGGTTACGTGCCTTTAATACTTTACTAACCTGAGTCATTAAAGAACAGTTAATGATTTCTGTACATGTAGGCACTGAGGTGTATCAAAAAAACAAATAAAAAAACCTCATCGAAACATCTTTTCCACTTACTCACCTTGTTTATAGTCCAACCAGAATACTAGAATACATTCTTGTCTCACTTGAGTCACTTAAGTGTCTGGAGGTTTTATTTTTATTACTTCTTCTTCCCCATTTCAGGGAAGAGGAGGAACAGTATGCCGTACTTCATCGGCCAAACAAGAAGCTGATCGTAGCAGTAACAGTGCAAAGTGTCCTTGTCCTTCATTTATCAGTCCAGATAAAAATGTTCTCTCACATTCCCACTGAAACTTCAGTGGAGCCAAACTTCAAATTGGCTCATCTGGTTTTCTTTTACAGTTTCTAGGGAACTTTTTTACACATCAGTGTAATCCTTCAATCCTTCAAGTAGGTAGAGGTCAATTGTCTTTAGCTCTGTTTGTTTATGTATCAGAGTCAGACTCTTCAGATCAATACTGCACTTTATCTTTACCTGTTTGCTTTTTCACTGTCACATTAACATTTCACTTCCTTCGTCATCTCTAGCCCTGCAAACAAAATTGAGCAGAATTCAGTCCTGAAACACAGCCAGCTCAAACTCAAGATTAATTCTTGTTCACAATAAACAACGTCTGCAGACAATAAACAAACTCACACAACATGAGGACAGATTTTGATCATATTCGTCTGTTTTATCCTTATTTTAATGAGTCACTTCAATATTTTTCATATCACACAATACTACTGTGTATGCTGCTGATGTAGGGCATCTTTCTAGCTGAGACAGTAGTTAATTGCAAGCCAGAGTTAAACTTTCAACCAAGGAGATTGATCCATTGGTAATTAATTAAATGGATTACAGCAGGGAGTGCCCAGCAAAATGATTGTGACAAATGTAAACTAAAGTTGACCCCAATAAATTTGTCTGTAATTAAATGAAAACAGTGTTGTCCTTTAGTGCAGCAGCGCTATTGTTATTTCAAATGCAGAATATACAGGATACTTACTTTGAGCCGGTCTTATTATCAGAGATATTTCCTCCTGTCTGAGTCCAAAAGACATAATCATTAGTACAAACAACTCCCAAAATGTTAGATGATTACTATTATTTATATCGATTTTCAGGAAAAACTAAAAAAACGCTGAGAGGTCAGGACTGATATTTGTGACATGTAACCCTAGGGGTGCTTTGGGGTACTGCAGGATGCACCTGAGACATTTTTCTTTCCTGTAATTTAAAAAAAATCAGCCATGCATACTTCCTAAAATGATTAAACTATAATAAGTACGATAAAAATGTAAATGTAAGTTGGATAAACCACATTTTATATTCAACATTCCCATTTTTCAAAGCAATCTGTAACTGCAATAAACTCTCAGCTGCCCTAAAACCAATAATCAAACACAAAGATAAAGAAAATGTTGAAAATTAGAAACACTAACTAATAACAAATATCAAACTATATAAACCTTATATCACAAAATCCATTCAAAATTATGAATTCATGGCTCAAATATTATAATTATTTACCTGTTTAGAATTATGTTTTCTTTTTTTCCAGTAAAAGAATCCTGCCACGCCTGCTGCAGCCGCAATTATTCCAATTGCTACAATCACAATGCCTACATTTATGTCAGAGCCTGAAATAGAAAACACAAATTTAGTTAATTTATTTTCCACCAGCAAAACTTATGCAATGACAACTACTGCAGCATCGAGGTGTAACGTGATCCTTTAGATGAACTAGATAATCACAGCTCTCCCTTACCTTTGCTTTCCTCTATCCTCAGAAAGGTGCTTCCTACATTTGTCTCCTCTTCATTACTGAACTCACAGGTGTATGCTCCCTGCTGATCTGGAGTTAAGCCGGTCAGCGCGAGGTTGCCTGACTCAGAGACAGCCTTCACCTGCTGCCTCCACTCCTCTGACACTTTGTAGGGGACATTGGCTCCAGTCTGGGTCACGATAATCTGACTGTGGTTGAATCTCCAGATTAAGACTGTTAGAGGCGCCTTTGAGGAAGGGCAGTCGATTGTTGTTTCAGTGGTCGAAGTCTTATTAACTGAAATGATAAAACACAAAAATGGTAATAAGTAATAAAATATCTATCTATATAAAACTGTACAATAAAAACACAATAACTGCAGGACGTTCGTGTAAAACGAGCGATTTGGATGAATTTTGAGCAGATTTGTTTCTGTGTTTTCTGATATTTTTAGCAACTTTTTATATAATGCCTGTATTATGTATTTTATTAATTTCTAACAATCATACAGACTTAATAGGCTACTTCTTATATACTTTTTATTTATATATAACTTGTGTTCAGCTCTTCAGAGTTTACATCTTAAATAACATATTTACATTTCACATAAACTGTGTATATTTTATGTGTATAAGTTTTCTTACACCCCCTTAAAATCAAGAAGACCTTGCGACCTCCCTGTGAAGCTTTGGCGACCTCTAGTACGAGTCCTGACCCCCAGATTGAGAACCACTGATTTAATTGACTAGAAGTTAGCACAATGAGATTATTTATTATTATTCTGTTTATAGGTTTCACTCTGTTAACACAGTATAGACAGTTATGGAATAACTGCAATATAAAATACAGGTCAATGGCCTGATGGGCATCAATTCATCAATCTGACACCAAGAAGGTTAAGAACAACTGGTTTAAAGAATATTATAGACAACACTGACAGAAGGGGGAGGTAAAGTGAGCCACTTGCGGGAGAAAACCTTCAGATAGGGCAGATGTCTTTGGGTCCTCTCACACACTGTTTAATATAACTTCAATAAAACAGTTAAATGCAAAATAGATTTACTGGTCAAAGGAGCAACTGACTTCTCCTCACAGTGCGTCTTCCTTTACACCTTTATCACAAACTCCTCCTATTGTACTGTACGCCCGCTCACTGCAGAACAGGATCCTCAAGAAAGGGGGGGGGAGCCTGTTTTTATTAGAAAAGAAATATTGTTTTGTTTTGTCTAATGTTGTCTTAAAAAGATATTACTGACAATATTGAGCTCAATTTAACCAGTAACAACAATGGTTTGCATCATATCCCAGCAGAGGAGCCAGATTATTTTCCTTCTTTTAGGAGTAAGAACACTTATACAACTTCTCAGTTTAAGAGTCTTGTGCTGTTAAGTTTTTCATGAATATACGAACGTTTTTGGTGCATTAATTTAAGACTTATTTTTTAATAGATTGTGTCTTATTGCAAGCTTTTGTTTTTGCTAAATATTAATCTTAGATTAAGGTAAAATGTCTTGAATTCGGCTCAATAACGTGGCCACATTTTTTAGTTTTAAGGCTCATTAAAGTCTTTCAGTGGCTTTCTTTGCTCAATACAAGAACATTTATTATACTGAAGAATATTTGGTTTGTTTCTTGAAGCCCTTTTGCAGCGCTTTATCTATAAATATGTGATTGTGTTCATTAATGCTACATGTATTCTCAACAACCAACATACCTCTCTCCCTGACATTATTATATCTGACAGTGTTACTGCATAAAACCATCTCTAATGCATAGTTTTAGGAATAAAACCTATTTCCCACACTTGCACAAACAGGGTCACAAAACAACATGTTCAACTAAACAACCCCTCTCTGATTCAGAGGAGGGAAATCACCAGCTGTTTATTTTTAACAGGACCTCGAGGCTCAAGGGCAGATTAGCAGCCCCAAGCTACTGCCCCATGTCTGTTTATATTTGCCCACAGTGCTTTTCTTATTCATTTATTTTATTCATTGCATTCATTTTTTTATTTTATTTTGCTCATTGAATATCAGCACCAGGCTGAGACACACAGGAAGAATGTAATTGCACTGATAAGTTGTTTACTGCTGCACAATAAAGCCTTTGATCCTCTTTATGATATGAGGACTGTGGAACTTTGGCACAATGAAGGCAGCACTGATTCACCACATAGAGCAGGTCTTCTTATCAACACTTACGTTGTTTAAACAAAGTGGCTGTTCTTCTGTGTTCACCGCTGCTGACGGTGCAGCTGTAGGCCACATCAGTCCCACTGTCTGAAACCATCAGAGAGCCGCTGATGTTGTAGAGCTGCTGTTCAGTCTCCTGGACTGTGGTTGTGTTCTTGAAGGTCACGCTGGACGGAGGACTGGTGGACCAGGTGAGCTCAGGCTTAGGGTAGATCCCCTCTGAGCTGCAGGTGATCCTGTTTTCAACCTTCTGAATGTCGACTTCAGCAACCGGAGCTGTTAAAAAACAGAAGATTAACTTTATTGGAATTGGCTTTATTGGTGTTTTTTATGCAGTTCACCTCCAATAATATCACTTGTCAATCAAACACTGGGCGGTGCTTTCTAGTGATTAATAATTTGTTCTCTGACTATTAATGTCACGAATCCCCGGCCGGGATGACTGTTTGTTTGTCTATGGTTGTTGTCTGGTGTTGTGTGCCACTCTCCTGGCAGTGCTTGAGGGGGCGTGCCTGTACCTGACTATTCACACACCTGGCTGAGGTCTTCACCACACCTGCTCCTCATCACTGTCTGCAGTATTTAAGGAGCAGCCACACACCCAGTCTCTGCCGGATCGTTGTGAAGTATAGTGTAAGCTACAGCCTTCCAGCCAGAAATTCTACTTTGCAACCTTTAGCTGCCTGTTTCTGCCTGCCTGAGCCTATCTCTTGCTGCCTGTTTTTGTCCTCTGCTAACCGTGTCTCTCTGCCTCAGGAATCAGTCCAGTCCACTCAGCCTACACCTTGTGTAGCCGGCGTGTGGTTCACCACCCTCCAAGCCTGCCAGCCGACCACTCTCTGGATCACTCTTTGTCAAATAAACTGTTAACACTCAAACTCTTGTTCCGATCTGCTTCTGGGTTCCCCTCAGAATCCTGACAATTAATCATTCTTTCCATTCATCAAGCTCATGGATTCTCTATCCAAATGAGCTCTATTTCGAAAGTATTTATGACTGAATGAGGTGCAATAATACTGTAGACTTTGATCATAATCATACATTTTTTATTGCTTTCGATGAGGTTTCCATTCTTTGTGGGTAATTAAAGAAACTACTTGGGAGATTCTGTATCTAGTGCTCATCCAAACAAAGCAGAAATGCAACATTAATCGTGTCTTTTTAGCTTTTTCTTTATATTTTTCCAATTTGTGTTATAACAACATGAAATGTATATACATTATACAGTGTAAAGTCAAAGTCACTGCCATTCAACAGAAAAGTAACTTTCTCTTCAAACCTCAGGATCAAGTGCTTCACAAAAGAAGGAATGTGTGTTTTTTCAGCACACTTGGTTCCTCACAAGGTTGTCTTTATCCTCTGGATGACCTTGCTCACACATGAATACTGTATCAGTCTGCTCCCCTATGTTATCAACGTGCTGTAGCTGAGAGAGGTCATTGTAACACGACAAAACAAGAAGCACACTGAGAAAATGTACATTCCCACCAACTTGACTACTCAAAGCCTGCAAGTCCAACTTAAAAACATATTCTAACTTTACCTGCTGCTATAAACTTGCTGTTTCCTGCAGAGTCTGCAGTCTTATGGACTTAAGTGTGCGTTCACACGTTACTGAGTAAGTAAAGCACACTTATCCAAATACCACTCTTTTTTTGGGGGGGTTTTCTGCACACTGAAGCTTCAGAGGAAAGAGGAAAAGTATTATTCTCTTTTACAATGATAAAACATTGTAAAAGTGAATAATACAAGACTGTTAAAAAAGCTCATAAGCGTATAAATGCACTGCATATATGTGTGTTTTCTGTATTATGAATTTCATACCTTCCACATTTAGGTCAATAAATGTCTCCTTGTTGCCAGTGATGGTGCTGGTGTAACACTTGTATCTTCCCCCATCCTGAACCTCCACAGTTGTGAGCTTGAGCGAGGCGTTTCCTTTGGAGATCTGGTCCTTGAGCAGTGATGTCCTGCTCATGAAGCGTTGGTCCTGGCGTGTAAGCTGGTCTTGGTTGTGGTAGTAGGAGTGGACAGGTATGTTTCCTGCCACCATAATCCAGTGGATGACTACGTCATCACCAGGATTAAAGTTGCACTTTAAGATGCAGCTCTGCTTTAAAATACAGACTTCAGCATCTGTAAAACATCAGGTGAAGAAACATCCATCAAGGAAAAGTGACCATTTAAATCAAATCACACAAATAGAAAGGTTAAGTGATAGTTAGTGGGCTACATTAAACAGTTTCAGTTTGAGTTGAAGATAATTGTGTATCATATAAAACTAAATATCCTCCAGACATCAGGACAAGGACAGTAGAGAAGGAGGATGCATTGGATTCTACTTATATAACCGCATGTCGTTTGCATAACAACAGAATATCCATTGATTAAATCAATTAATTGTTTTGTTTGTTTGTTGACATACTGTATTTTCGCCTTACAATGTTATGATGACTGTGTTTGTACGAACATTTACACATCCAGTAGGTGGAACATTATTGTTTACTGTGGGTTGTGTCAGTTTCCGTATGATAGGTTCAATATTGACTCACCTTTTTATCTCTAATTTGGTTTCTACTCCTTCAATTCCTAAGAGACTGATCAGCCGTAACATTGTGAGCACTGAGAAGTGAAGTGAATAACACTAGTTATCTGGTGATCAGGCTTCCTGTCAGTGGGTGGGGTTTATCAAGCAACATTTTGTCCTCAGGTTGATGTGTTAGAAGCAGGAAAAGGGTTTGAGCGACTGTGAAAAGGGCCAAATTGTGATGGCTAGACGACTGGGTCAAAGCATCTCCAAACCTGCAGCTCTTGTGGGGTGTCCCAGTCTGCAGAGGTCAGTACCAATACCATGTCACTGATGCTCATGGGGAGTGAAGGTTGGCCCATGTGGTCCGATCCAACAGACGAGCTACTGTAGCTCAAGCTGCTGAAACAGTTAATGCTGGTTCTGATAGAAAGGTGTCCGAACACACAGTGAATCGCAGTCTGTTGCCCAGGTGGTCATAATGTTACGGCTGATTGCTGTAAATATACTGTAAAACCAAAACTATGAGCTGAAAGCAGCTAAAATGCTCATAAAAGATTGGTGCGAAGTCCCTTTCACATTACACATTTTGATTTGATCAATTGTAAAAAATAAAATAAAAATATCTATTAGTGCAGCTTTAAAATTAGAAAACCTTTTGTGCGTGTGTGTGTGTGTGTGTGTTGGACATTTTGTAACAAGTAACAAGGAAACATTCTTTAGAAAACGAAAGTATTTACAAAATCTGCCCAAACAGGTGGTGCCACATACCAGCCATAATCCTCTGTGAGCTTTACTTCTTAAAAGATTAATTTTAGTTGCTTCACATTTTGATTCTCAATGAAAAGGTTCAGTATCAGGGTGTAGTGGTGTTATTCCTACTTAGTAATCAGGTCACTCCCAGTCACTCTGGACAGAGGCCACTGGACTAAAGTCCAAAGTATGACTCAGATAATGAGAAATCTCTGTTTGTAGTTTAGATTAATTTAGTTAAAACAAGCAAGTTAAAACAAGTTTCTTCTTCAGTTAAAAGGTTAACTCTTACACTTACTCATACACAGACTTCTCACTTATCTCTACTGGTATTTAGGTCAATAGTTTCAGGGTTGTATACTGACGACCTTCATACACACATTCCAATTGAATGTTGTTTTTGTTTAAAGTGCTTAAACCAGTAAACAAGTTTCAGCTCAACACAAACATATATGTAGAAACAATTCCTCTGACAATGACAATATCTGAAAACTAACACCACATTAACACCAAACTATCAGAATGTCACTGGGAAAAGTGACTACATATGTTAATTATATTTACAGCTATTCTTGGTTTTCTCTGTAAAAAGTGACCAATGTATCTACAAGTTTAAGTTTCAGGCTGGAAAAGGATCAGATGGGCTGTGAACGCCTCACTCACCTCCTCTCTGAAAAGTCCACAAAAAGAGCAAGAAAACCAGACACCTAACACACTTCCACAGAGCCATCGTCAAGTTGAATATTCCTCTGGTGATCCGGATGTAAACTAAGATGTACTAAAAGATTTTAAGAAACAGGAATCACAGCAGGGCTGTCTATCCAGTCTGACAAGTTTTGACAGCTGCCTCTAACTTTAGCCTTGTGAGTGTGATTGGGAGTGCATGTGAGCGGGTGAGCAGTGGATAGGTCAAAGTCTGCAGTATCAAAGATTAAGCTAAAGTTTTTTTTGTTACAGATTAACTGATGTTCAATGGTTCTGGCCTCCTGAAGGAAAAAAATAATACGCACATGATGTTAAATCACAAATCTACCGCAGGGGCAAATCCAAGGGGTTAAAATTAGGAGATTTTGAAAAACTGGCATCAGAGGGTTGATTACAGGGTATTAAAAGGCCGGTGTAGTTTCTCCTACATGCTTGGAAGGGGACGGCGAGGCGAGGGGGTTGCAATCTGAAACGACACCACTAGATGCCACTAAAACACTGGTCCCTTAAGATCCACCTGCCAGCTTTTTCAAAAGGTTTCAAGAGAGTACAGAGTCGGCACCTCACATCCGGTAGCGGTTTGTGGATCAACTGAGCAAACGTCTGCTGGTTAAAGCTCCAGAAAGGAGGCTAGTAAGTGGCCCTTGAGTCTAAGGTCCAGTGTCTAGGATTCAGTGGCATCTTGCAGTGTAGTTGATAAATCTTACAAAGAGATTATTTAGCTTTTTTTCCTGTTTTGGGACCTTTTTGGTTGTTTACAGTGAATTTATTGTTTTAGTGTTTGTGACTATTTTTGTTTTTGTTTACATTGTAGGCTACTTTGTTAATTGTTTTCATACATAGTATCATTTCACTATTCACTACTGATCTCCTGTTTTTTATTGACACTGTGGGATTTTAAATTGTTGATTGTTTTTGCTGTTTTTGTGTGGACCCCAGGAAGACAGCGACCACTTTATGGAAGCTAATGGGGATCCAATTTAAGAATAAAGAATAGTTTAGCTCATTTTTTTCACCCCGCTTTCCAAACGCGAGGGAGGAACTACGGTGGCTGTGAAAAATGCTTTTAATAGCCAGTTGTTGGTTTGTCTGTTCTGGGCTACTATAGAAACATGGCGGCCTCCATAGAAGGGAACCTGTGGCGTCTGTAGATAAAAGCAGCCCATTCTAAGGTAACAAAAACTCCTGTATTCAGGTGATTATACACTAATAAACAAGAATATTATACACAATTTCTGCCAATATATCCTTCTAAATGTTACACACCAGAGCTTTCAGATTGTTTTGTCATATCTCAGATCAAAAAGCACAATAGATACACACAAACCTTTAGCTATTAGTCTTTTTAATAACCTTACATTAATTATGACACATTTGTGAAAGAGGTCAAGTGTGGCAGTGCAGAGAATAGATTATACATTGAAAAGATTTTATGGCGGTTTGTGACCGAAAATTAAATATTAATCTCGCCACGTCAAAAAGAAAGTCGGCATTGTTCAGTCACATCAGTGATTCACAGTCACATTCATCTTTATAATCCAGACAAGAAACAATTCCCAGAAGCAACTCGACCTCTTGGCGTGCCCTTTAAGTTCAGTGACGGCTTAAATGCAGCAGGACAGTATAGGTAGTAGAACATGAAGTCAGTCTTTGAGTCTGGAAATCCAGCCTGTGCAAAGTGTCCGAGAGCACAGAGAGATTCCCTACTAGTGCCAAAGGATGACGACCTCAAAGAGTAAAGACGACATCCTCATCTCGTTTCAAACATCATAAAGTTCACAAACAGTCACAGTTCACGAGGTTTGTGATGCAGTTTTTTGGTTCTCAGCCCCATTTGCAAAAGATCCTTGAAACTCGTATAATGCATCTTTTCCATAAATAGTGCCAAGAACTGCTGAACCCCAGGAACTAAATTAGGTTAAATTTAGAAATCAATTCATCTGAAGAACAGTGACACTCATAAAACAACATGAAACAATAAACATCACAAAAAAATGTCCCCCCCTTGTCCCAAGTGGTGGCAGCGCTTGCTCAAAGGCCTTGTCACACCAGCATTTAGTTGAATTGATTTCAGCAGAAAGACACAAATTAGTGTGGTTGACTGATAGCAGAACGAAGGGATGTAGAGCCAAAATTGAGGATGCTGTCTTGCATCTACTCTGTTGTGAGTTTTAATTCCACAACATAGCAAATGGTTTATGAGACAGGAGTCAATGCTGCAAATACATAATTTAAATAAATTGTCTCATTAGAAGCTGAGATAATAAACCTGTGGCTGACTTAGCTCGCCAGGTATAGCAGTTAGTATTGTCACTGTCACCAAGCAAAAACACGATTCGTTTCGCTGTACCACTTTCTGGTGTGACCAGGCCTTAAAGCAGCCACAAGGTTTCTTTTTGATCACTGAGTTCTCAGGACACAGAAAATACTGACACTTCAGTGCCAAGAACTGCGGTAAAGGAACTAAATCAAGACCTGTGCTCCTCCGGTCAAAATGAAGGTAAAGTTCTTCAGTTCCTAAAAATCCTAAAAGGGTTTCTGGACCCCCGGAAAAGTTCCTGCGATGGAAAAAGGGCTTCAAGATACAGCTGGATGAATCTGTCTATACAGCTGCATTATCAGGGTTCACAAACCCTTCATGAAGACGTTTAAAGCGGTTCGTTGCACCCACAGTCAAACATCAGTTTATCAGGGTGTCTAAAATCCAAAGAAGAGGTCCTCATTAGAAAAACACCAAAATAACAATTTGTGCATCCTATAATAATTTATTTTAAAAGGGTTCATTCCTTATCAGTGTGCAGCTGCGTGTGCGTGTTTGTTAGTATTTTGTTAGTTTCGGTGTTTTCCTCGTTTGTTCTCAGGTTAATTGGGTTCCAGTCTGGAGGCCTGATTGTCCGTTGGTGCCGCCCACATTCAAAGGACTGCCCTCATTCAGGCGACTGTCTGCTCCCGAGTCTGTAAGAATGACAGAAAAAAGGTTCTGGATAAGAGGAAACCATGAAATTAAGCATAAAAACTTATGAATTTGATATTATTATGAAGTATATTATTATATACTACTACTCTTTCTTATTTCAGAGAGGTTTTAGCTCGACTTTATGCTCATTTTGGAGATTTTGTAGTTTGTTGTTCTGTTTCTAGGGGTAAACTATGTTTTAATCTGAGTTGTAAAGATAATCAGTTCCCTAGTGAGGCAAAAACTGAATCTGTGGCTCCATCTAGTGTCTGGTTTTGGTAATGCAGGTAGTGATATAAGACTGACCTTTAACTGAATGCAGCTCTGTCACCTCTTCAGGGTCATTTCTGGGCTTCGAGGTGCTTCCTGGGTGAAAGATGAGAAAGACATAACATAATGTGTGAGAACAACTGAAATAAGAACTTAATATCAAAGCACCTGTATGGATCCTAAATGTGAGTCAGCTTCTGATCACAACCTAATTTGTTTTCTGGCCTCGCCTACTTGGTGACATTTCCTACAATACGTCTGGCGTGACCCGAATGTAATTAGTTGTAAGTGGCACGACTGGTGTGGCCGTGTAGTGACCGGTTTATATTCCACTATTATGAATACTTATTTTCCATTTGTAGTATTTTAATGAAGATAATAAAGATGTAACCTCATACAATGTTTGGATGTGCTCTGAACATTCATTAAGAGACGAAGAAGCTCCACTTAACACTCAGTTTTTAATATTAATAAGCAGAAAAACACACATTTCCTCCCCCCACACACCTGTTTTAGGACCTGAACCTGATCTCAGAAGATATTTCCACACTTAACTTCTGATGTTTTTTACAATAAATTAGATTTTAGATTAGAGTGGCCATAAAATTATTTATTTTCTGTCCTTTAAACAGCTGTTTTATTTTATTTCACAGTGATCAACTGTATTGTACTTGAGTTTTATAATTTTATATGTGTATAGGTACAACATGGAAGTGCTGTTTACACAATAATGCATCAGGAATAACTATAGTAATAAAATATCTATTATTATTCAAGTATTCAAGATTATTTTATTGTCACCTCCAACACAGTTGTAGAATGACATTCAGATATAGTTCACTTTATTTTTTACTTTATATTTAATTTTGTAAAAACTAAATAAAAAAATATTAATAAGTCATGAAAATACTAATTTGTATGATGAGGAAGAATTATGTAATTTTAACACATTCTTCTGCATAATGAGCATTTAAAACAGTACATCTTGCTGATAATTCTGTTACACAATAATTTAATTTAATTAACTTGCGTCACTGAATGTTGTTCATGATTAACTGAACAGCTTTGATATTAAATAATTTTTTTCTTTACTTTCTTGACAATAAAATTTCTTCTAACAAATCCAAACATAAATATTGAACCATTCCTTTTAAAGAACAAAAAGTTTCCCATTGTGATGTCCATATAAAGTATATAAATCCCCTTAGACCAAAACCAGACCACTCCCAGTGAATACATATATTTTTGGTGGGCACTGTAGTTTGTATGTAACACGTGCGTCTTGTGTCGGTCCAGCTCAAGCTCTCTTTTTACTCTCAGTTAATGTCCACATCTCCTAGAGTCCATCTTTACCTCTCAGCTTCAGGTAGGCCAGCATCCCTGCCAGAGCAAGAACCAGCACTGCGATCACCAGACCGACGATCCACCAATGAGACGTTGCTTCTGAAACAAGCCGCTTATCTGCACACAGGTAACGAAACGGATTAATACACAAATACACACTTTAATTCAACAAATAACAGCAGTTGTCTTTTAAGTTAAATGTGAATTATATGTTGTTTTCTTTATATTTTCATCATTAATGATATTCAACTTGTTTCATACTGCTGTTAAGCTGAGTATGGATGTATTTCAGAGGCAATTTTTGTTATATTTGTTGAAATTCTCTTTACATCTCAACAGAAATCAATAAATCACATCCACAGAAAAAAGAAAAATAAATAAATCGGAAGTAGAAAAAGCTACAAGCGAAAACTTTGGATAAACAAACAGGTCAAACTATGACTATGTATATCAAACGATGACATCAATGTGCACCACATGTGTGTTAATCCGCTGCTAAAAATAGTCCCCAGTAAACGCCTCCGAATGTCTCCACCTGTTGGTTTGCCAAAAAAAACAGTGACCAGAAACAGGGGCATTCCCAGAGGGAGGAAATCTGATACC